AGGGCGGTATCTGTTGATCTACCCTTACGGTACGCATGCTGTGCGTCAGTACTCTGGTCGTCTAAGTTCTCCTCTATGTGGAGGTCCTCCACTACATGGGTGTTCTTAGGGAAGTGGGTGTCTAGCAGTAGTTCAAGGGTTTCCTGACTGTTTTCTGTCCAGCTGTCAGCATTGATTTTTAGATAGCCAATAGTCGTTGGTTACGTCTTCCGACTTTTTGAGAGTGTCGGGCTCATGTTTGGTACAGTCTTTTTTGTTTATATTTGTTAAATTCTCCATGTTAAGTCCCACGAGCTGCGGAGAAGGGACAGGTCCACCCGGGCAGAGATCCGCTGTATTCGGGTAAGGCTGACTTAGAACAGGCGGTCGCCACTTGCCTGAGCTCACCGTTTGAGACTGAGTTATTTGATGACTCGGGCTCTCAGCCAGAATGACTCTCGGCACGGTACGAGTGACACCTTAGTCCAGCCCGGGGTGAGATGAGTTGTGTGGGTAGGGAAGAGGTAGGTTCAAAGAGTGTGGGAAGGGGGGTATGTGTGAGCTATTTGTCGGAGGCGGCAGCACAAGCGCGACGTCGGTACTGCTACGGCGCAGATACCCGCTGACTGTCCGGGGCTACTTATTTGCGCTTCGTGTTGGGGGCTTGGCGGTAGCCGGGCCGTGTCCAACTTCCACGCTTATTCGTAGCTACCCGACATGTTTCTTACAGAGGGATGGAGTAAGAAAATTAATTATATACAAATATACATAAAATATAATTAATTATGAATTATGAATTTAATGAAATATGTTTACAATAATAAAATATATAAAAATTATACAAATTTTGTATCTGACTGTAATTAAAACTACAGGTACAAATGAAGGGGAAGTATTTTGTTCAATGTCCTTGGGTCTTGGGCATGTGACTTTAGGTAATGTGACTTAGGTAATGTGACTTTCAGGTAATGATAGTTCACTGCAAGTGTGTTTGGCTAACACATCTTAGAAACTTTAACTTGTGTACTTTGATATTTCTTAATAAGAGACTATAGCAACTCATAATACTTGTTAACATTTAGTTACCATCTAAAACCAAGTACTTTACAGATACTACAGATAGTAACCATCCAAAATCAAGTACTGTACAGGTACTATACAAAAAGTAACCATCCAAAAACAAGACTAAAAAGAAAGTAACCATCAAAATACTGCTAGGTAACAACTAAATACAACGAGTCCAACGTGTCAAGTCTATGTCGGTATGACTACTACCCTAAAATATTGTATATCTCTGTATAATCTTCAAAGTCAATACCTATTAAATTCTGGATGGAGTAGTGGAGACGAAATGTCTACGGTATCCCTACTTAAAATTTTTCTGTACCATTAAAAAATTTGTTGGGATTGGCTGAGGATTATAAAAAAGTTTTGTTAAATTGTAAACACAAACTAGTGTTGATGCTAACTAAGAATCTTGGTGAGTCTTGAACAAACCAGCAATGAACAAACTTTTAAACTGGAAACTACGAATAAAACCTGGAAAATTCCCCATGTAACTCTGAGCGATTTTACAAAAATTAAGGTGTACGATGTTATTAAAAGTTGTGTAAACCTACCAATCGCATTCCGGAGTTGGGGTTTATATGTTAACCCCAAATTGGGGTATAGGAGTCAACACAGGTGAAATGTGAAATTGTCGGCTAACCGCGAAAATCCAATTTTTGCCATAATTGGATTTACACTAAATGGAGAGCTTATCACAAATAACTTATCAAACTTGAAAGTTCACTTGAATTCTGAGTCATATTAATAATAATCTGAATGTTGATTTTAGTAAGAATTAGTATGCTCACCTATATGAAATGTATACAAGATTTCAATCTAGTTACTATAATCGTAAGTCACAACCATTTTTGACCCGAAATGAATTTAAATTGAAGACCCCTATTATTGTGGTTGATCTTTCATATCAAACTCATATCAAAAAACTTTTATGACATCTAAACCTTTTAAAATCAGATAATATATGGATTATGCAAATTGTCCCAGAACCCGCATACATTAATGAAGAGGCGGGGGCCATTAATATGTTAACTAGTGAGAGGCGGGGTCATTAATATGCTAATTAGTAAGGGGGTGGGGGCCATTAATATGCTAATTGTCCCAGAACCCGTCTTTCCCAACTACTGATGTGTGTATTTTGTTATTGCAATAGTAAATAGTTATCCTAACGTAAAATCTTCCACACAAAAGTATGCAACAATAAGGAATTTACTTAAATGTATTGATTATAATTCACAACTGGGTCTAGAGCTTCGTACACCGAGGCTCCCAAGCCTTGCTCAGAAAAGTTAGGGCTTTACTTAAAAGATGTATCTGTAAAGTCTTCAACATGCTTCTAGCTGAAAGTCACTTGAAAAGTGACTCAACAAAAACCTTACCATGCTACAGTGACGTTTCTATGAACTTAATTAATTAATAACGTTATCAATTTTATATCTATAAGAATGTAACCATATTTATGGTTCGCATAACTACCCTTTTATACAGTTTTATAACTATTTTTTATAGAAACTCTTACGTTTAAGTATTACATAAAAGTAACTATTTAATGGGTAAAATTGACAATTCGATGGTTGGAGACGGTTATGTTAGTCCAATTTACCGATCGTTTTTATACCCGTTACTCGTAGAGTAAAAGGGTATACTAGATTCGTCGGAAAGTATGTAACAGGCAGAAGGAAGCGTTTCCGACCCCACAAAGTATATATATTCTTGATCAGGATCACTAGCCGAGTCGATCTAGCCATGTCCGTCTGTCCGTCTGTCTGTCCGTCTGTCTGTCCGTCCGGATGAACGCTGAGATCTCGGAAACTATGGGAGCTAGGCTATTGATTCCTGAGCTTCTTACGCAGCGCAAGTTTGTTTCGGCACAGTGCCACGCCCACTCTAACGCCCACAAACCGCCCAAAACTGTGGCTCCTACAGTTTTGATGCTAGAATAAAAATTTTAACTGAAATGTATTGTTCTCATCAATACCTATCGATTGACCCAAAAAAAGGTTTGCCACGCCCACTTTAACGCCCACAAACCGCAAAACCCTGTGACGCCCACAATTTTCATGCTAGATAAAAAATTTTAACTGAAATGTATTGGTCTCGTCAATACCTATCGATTGATCAAAAAAAAAATTTGCCACGCCCACTCTAACGCCCATAACGCTTAAATCTGTATACCGCCGGTAGGTGGCGCATTTTAATCTCGCTTTGCTGCTTGCATATCTCCATATAGCTGATAGTCGAGGTACTCGACTATAGCGTTCTCCCTTGTTTTTAACATATAACCTCCTACGCTTTGAAATAACACTTTTTAATTAGTTCTGAATTTTGAATTTAGTTTTATCAAAATCGGACGACTATATCATAAAGCTGCCATAGGAACGATTGGAAAATTAATGGGAAAATAATATGAAACAAATTATAGCTTTTGTGTTTTTTGACAAAGTATCTTATGCTATTGGAATATAATTTTTTTGTATTTTTAAGAATTTTGAATTAAATTTAATAACTATAACCGCAAGGGTATATAACTTGCTTTCTTGTTTTGAAATAACTTAATTAATTTACTTAACTAAAATGCAACTAGGCTCCAATTTCACATGCAACGCTCAATAACCATCTACATTATACAAATTTATGAAATCAGACCTTTTATTAAATGATAAGACCAATAAAAATATTCTGCGCCAGGTGGAGCCAGCTCGTCGATTATTAATACATTTATTTTATAGCTTTGCGATTGGTGTGGCAAATACTGGAACTACCGCAATAGCGGAAATTCAATTTGCGGACTACATATTTCCGAGCTTTGACCAGATAGTAAATGAAGCTGCCAAATATCGATACCGAAGTGGTGGGCTCTTTGACTGTGGATCATTAACTTTTAGAGTTCCTTGTGGTGCTGTCGGTCACGGGGCACTCTACCATTCTTAAAGTTCAGAATCATACTTTGCTCACACCCCGGGCCTTCGTGTAGTGGTAATTTTAAAGTATAAAGAAGTTCTGGAAAATATACTTTGTATTTTGTATTTTTGATTAAAAAAGGTTCCCCGTGGACCCATAAAGGCAAAGGGTCTTCTTCTTGCATGCGTTCGTGATCCAAACCATTGTATAATTTTTGAGCCTAAAACTTTGTATCGGGCAACTGTTGAGGATGTGCCAACGGAATATTTTACCTCGAAACTCGGCAAAGCTGACATACTTCGAGATGGAAAAGATGTCAAACTTGTTGGTTGGGGTACACAAGTCCATGTTTTATTAGAAGTATGTGCAGACATTTTTAATCCCGTTACTCATAGAGTAAAAGGGTATACTAGATTCGTCGGAAAGTATGTAACAGGCAGAAGGAAGCGTTTCCGACCCCATAAAGTATATATATTCTTGATCAGGATCACTAGCCGAGTCGATCTAGCCATGTCCGTCTGTCCGTCTGTCCGTATGAACGCTGAGATCTCGGAAACTATGAGAGTTACAATACTGGGATTAGGCACGCAGATTCCTGAGATTCCTGCGCAGCGCAAGTTTGTTTCAGTAGAGTGCCACGCCCACTCTAACGCCAACAAACCGCCCAAAACTGTGGCTCCTACAGTTTTGATGCTAGAATAAAAATTTTAACCTATACCTATTGACCTAAAAAAAAGTTTGCCACGCCCACTTTAACGCCCACAAGCCGCGATAACCTGTGACGCCCACAATTTACATGCTAGATAAAAAATTTTAACTGAAATGTATTGGTCTCGTCAATACCTATCGATTGATCCAAAAAAAATTTGCCACGCCCACTCTAACGCCCATAACGCTTAAATCTGTATACCGCCGGTATGTGGCGCATTTTAATCTCGCTTTGCTGCTTGCATATCTCTATTTAGCTGAGTAACGGGTATCTGATAGTCGAGGTACTCGACTATAGCGTTCTTCCTTGTTTGTTTTGTTTTCTAAGATAATAAATCGTTTTATAGGTTGCTGAAATGGCCAAAGTACATTTGCATGTGGATTGTGAATTAATCGATTTGGTCTCTATTTTACCGTGGGACACAACTTTAATTTGTACCGTAAGTAACCAAATTGGTTTTCCTTTTAACAAGTTTATACAATATTTGTAAAAATGCTTTAGTCTGCTCAAAAAACAGGAAGAGTTATAATTGCTCATGAAGCTCCATTAAACCAGGGATTTGGCTCAGAACTAGCATCATACATCCAAGAAAAATGTTTTTTCACCTTGAAGATCCCGTAAAGCGGGTGACTGGATGGGATACACCGTTTCCTCATGTCTTTGAGCCCTTTTATTTGCCCGATAAACATATATGCTTGTCGGCTATAAAGGAAATGGTTAACTTTTAGTTTCTTGGCCCATTTTTTTTCGTGTAAAGAACGGACGTGAAGATAACTAAATGCATTTACTTACAAAAAATGTTATATTTAAATGTTTACTCATTTAACAACAATAATTTACATATTAAACCTACTTTACTTCCTGAAAACGGGTTATCCAAAATATGAAACTTAAAAGATAATTGGTTATTCTATTATTATTTTTCTACCTGAACGATAAATGTTTTTCAAATGGGTAAAAAAATTGTTCACGCCAAAAGGGCGTTTAATTTCAGGAGGCAGTGTCGAGCGGCAGTTTTATCCAGATTTCTATATCTCGCGCGCTCGCACTGCCGTCCGCTCTCCCTCTCCATATCTCCCCTAAGTCTCCGCTCTGCTCTGGAGCGCTTAAGTTAAGTTAGGCTTAAGCAGTTCATGTTTCAAAGTGTACTAATCAACACCTACGCACGTCGCGTAAAAACCCAAAAGTACCCGCGTATTTTTATGCGTACCATTCGATCTTGGGGCTTCAACTATTTCACCGAGCAAGCCGCACCGCCCCAACATTTTGGTCCTTCGAGCCGGATTTCGAAATCTTTGGACTTTCCTCTCCTGGAGTTTCCTTTGATTTTGTCCCAGCAGGCTTGAAACACTCCAGATAAGTTCCGCTTACTATAATTGCCGGTCATACAGCCAGTTTTTCGAACCCTATTTCGACTAACTTTCTGCATGATATATTGTCTAAATCCAAAAGTGATTAATCCGACGCAACGGCATTTAATATATGTATTTCGATTCCGTTACTTGTGCCCGACAATATTCCAGTTTCCTTTGCCCAGAAGATATTTCAGTGCTACTATTCAACAAAAATATTTCTCAAATATATTTTCAATTCCAATTGTGTGTAAAATATAACTCAGCCACAGTAAAAAATTCCCGATCATAAAGATTGTACTTAATATTTGCACTCTTTATTATACCCTTTACTCGTAGAGTAAAAGGGTATACTAGATTCGTCGGAAAGTATGTAACAGGCAGAAGGAAGCGTTTCCGACCCCATAAAGTATATATATTCTTGATCAGGATCACTACCCGAGTCGATCTAGCCATGTCCGTCTGTCCGTCTGTCCGTCTGACCGTCTGACCGTCTGACCGTCTGTCCGTCTGTCCGTCTGTCCGTCTGTCTGTCCGGATGAACGCTGAGATCTCGGAAACTATGAGAGCTAGGCTATTGAGATTTGGCGTACAGATTCCTGAGCTTCTTACGCAGCGCAAGTTTGTTTCAGTGGACTGCCACGCCCACTCTAACGCCCACAAACCGCCCAAAACTGTAACTCCTACAGTTTTGATGCTAGATAGAAAATTTTAACTGAAATGTATTGTTCTCATCAATACCTATCGATTGACTTAAAAAAAGTTTGCCACGCCCACTTAAACGCCCACAAACCGCGAAAACCTGTGACGCCCACAATTTGCATGCGAGATAAAAAATTTTAACTGAAATGTATTGGTGTCGTCAATACCTATCGATTGATCCAAAAATAATTTTGGCACGCCCACTCTAACGCCCATAACGCTTAAATCTGTCTACCGCCGGTAGGTGGCGCATTTTAATTTCGCTTTGCTGCTTGCATATCTCCATTTCCCTTTGAGTAACGGGTATCTGATAGTCGAGGTACTCGACTATAGCGTTCTTCCTTGTTTTTTACTGTGTTCCAGCTGCATGTGTATATTTACAAAAACAATCTAATACAGTCCACTCGAACTACTTTTTTCTAATACAGTCCACTCCAACTACTTTTCGCGACCTACAAATACGGCTAAACTATTTCTAAAATTAAAAACAAAGTGACAATATCCACAAATTTACTCCAGCAAATCGTTTGCAATTTAGTTGTGCAGGTGACAAACAAACGCACCGACATACAAACATAAGCGAAGTCTTTCCCATTCCCGCAACGTTATTCTGCTATTCGCACCCCACATATATACATACGTGCAGTGTACATACATACGTATACCGTATATCGCCAGTGCACAGTGGGTCAAGAGCTTACAAAAAGTGTTCCTTTCAAACAAACAATATTAAAGTCCGTAATTCCTTACATAAGTCCGACCACCCGATATAATAAATATTTATTGCCTATCCGACAGTGTGACCGTATATATTTACAATCTTAATTGGTTCCTAAATTCCAATTTGATTCCAATCCGTTTCCTTCATCAGAATAATAATTCTAAATTATTTAACGTCATGGCAACATCAGTAAAATCCGCTTTAACCCAATTTATGGCCACAGCTGTCTGTCTGATCCACTTTGAGGCCACTGTGAACGCTCCAGGTGCTCCTACACTAACGTTAGCCGCCTGTAAAATCCGTCGCGATCACCTCAATTCCTTGTGGCAAACGGTAAAGGCAGCATACGACATATGCTCCGACTGCATTATAGCTGCAGGCGAGAGCGCCGCAGACACAAAATCCATACTAAAGTCCAAGTATTACCAAACGTACTCCACTTACGAAATATTTTCCGCGCAGCTGATGGAACAAATCCAAAAGGGCTCCTCCCAAATACCTCAAGCTCCAGTAACTCCGTCCCAAAACTTCACGTCTTATGGCTGTCGGCTCCCTCCTATCGACACAGAGGTTTTCTCTGGCGATTATCTTCGCTGGCCGACTTTCCGGGACCTTTTCACGGCAATATACATAGACAATCCGAGTCTAACGCCCGTTGAAAAAATATTCCACTTAAATTCAAAAACAAGTGGCGAAGCTCATTCCATAGTTTCAAGATCCCCACTCACCAATGATGGCTTTCGCTCAGCCTGGAATAACCTAACTGAGCGTTTCGAAAATAAGCGATTGCAGGTGAACAGTCACCTGAAAACACTTTTCAATGTGCAATCCATAGCACAGGAGTCGGGAGCAGCCTTAAAGGAACTTCAACGCACTTTTCAAGGTTGCTTAACTTCCTTAAAATTTTCCGGTGTTAATATTGAGAATTGGGACCCTATCCTGGTTTATATGTGCTCGAGAATATTCACGCCAAAAGGGCGTTTAATTTCAGGAGGCAGTGTCGAGCGGCAGTTTTATCCAGATTTCTATATCTCGCGCGCTCGCACTGCCGTCCGCTCTCCCTCTCCATATCTCCCCTAAGTCTCCGCTCTGCTCTGGAGCGCTTAAGTTAAGTTAGGCTTAAGCAGTTCATGTTTCAAAGTGTACTAATAAACACCTACGCACGTCGCGTAAAAACCCAAAAGTACCCGCGTATTTTTATGCGTACCATTCGATCTTGGGCAAGCCGCACCGCCCCAACAAAAATGTCCACATCACTTTCACAACACTGGTAATAGTTATATGGTAATAGTATGGAAAATGAACCTGTACCTGTGATAAATCAAATATACCAACAAGTTCGACTCCAACCCCACTGCTCTATCTAGTGCGCCACAAAAATCGCAGAGCGCCCATTCAATGCAGAGGTGATTTCTGTGGCACCGCGGTATAACTTCACCCTAGTGCAAACAGATTTTTAATGATTTTGACAAAAACATTACATTATTTTGTGGTTGTTTTGTATTTTTATTAAAATATGTCAAGTCATTATTGCTCTAACCTCCGAGTTGAGTAGGCATTTAAGTAAAGACAGAGTGCAGTGCAACGAAAATATATAGGATATATGTATATATATACAAAAACAAAATTAAATATATATGTATGTAAAACAAAATAAAATTAAAATATATATACAAAAGTCTTTACTTTGTGTTTAAATAAAAGATGGTGGATGTCAGGATTAAGAAAATAAAAGAAGATTAATCTGCTTGTCACAAGTCATCTTTCGTTATAATTTCAAAGAGGAAACCGGAATTTTTTTTCATAGTGAAAGATAGACATTTATTATAGAATCGCCAGTCTATGAAAATACACGGTAATCTCTTCCAACACAACTTCTTGGTATCACATGCGTCCTTGTCAGGGGTGTCACAGATACAGTCGATAGTTTTGGGGACGGTTTCTATTAAAAGCATACTTAAAAATCAGCAAACAAATTTATTTTAGCTATACTTTTTTTTAGTTTCTGTGTTTGTGTTTTAAATTCTAAAAATGACTACAAAAAAGTGTTAAAATTTTAAACAATAATCGTCGTAAGCCCGGTTCGTCAAGTGGAAACTGAGCAGGTCCTGGTTCGACTAGCCAGGATGGACGAGCTGTCGATCGTCGTGGTTTTAAGGGACGCAGTCCTGGAACACCCAGGACCAGAGCACAGGACATCGCAAACGGTGTACATCGTCAACAACATCACAGAGACCTCACTGACACAAGCAATAGGGTGAAACTAGGGTGGAACGAACTGTTAGCCAGCCTCCTGGCGTAAGCCTTGACTGGACCGAGATATGAGTGACCTACCGGCAAAGAGCAAGGGACATGAGGTTGTGGCTTTGAAATGCGGAATCCTGGAGAGCACGGCACCTGATCACCCGTCCCTAAAGATGGTGACGCTTCCCTAAGTAAGCGCAGCCAGTATTCCGGCGAGTCCAAGGCGAGGCAAGCGGCTCCACCTGACCACCAGGAGCATCTGGAGCTACAGGACCCGAGGATGGAGTCGACACGGAGACACATTAAGCCGAGTCAGGCCAACGAATACGATTTGTTCAGGCCATTGTACAGCGAATCTGTACCGCTATTCCATTGCATCGCTCTCCCGCTCTTTTCCCATCTCTCCGCCGTGAAGTCTCC